ACACAGGGACTGACTGTCAGTCTATGATATAGAGTGGTGAGGGTAGAGAGATAGGACACAGGGACTGACTGTCAGTCTATGATATAGAGTGGTGAGGGTAGAGAGATAGGACAAAGGGACAGACTGTCAGTCTATGATATAGAATGGTGAGGGAAGAGAGATAGAACACAGGGACTGACTGTCAGTCTATGATATAGAGTGGTGAGGATAGAGAGATAGGACACAGGGACTGACTGTCAGTCTATGATTTGGAGTAGTGAGGGTAGAGAGATCAGACACAGGGACTGACTGTCAGTCTATGATTTAGAGTAGGGAGGGTAGAGAGATCAGACACAGGGACTGACTGTCAGTCTATGATTTAGAGTAGGGAGGGTAGAGAGATCAGACACAGGGACTGACTGTCAGTCTATGATTTAGACTAGTGATGGTAGAGAGATATGACACAGGGACTGGCTGGTCTATGATATAGAGTGGTGAGGGTAGAGAGATAGGACACAGGGACTGACTGTCAGTCTGTGATATAGAGTGGTGTGGGTAGAGAGATAGGACACAGGGACTGACAATCAGTCTATGATATAGAGTGTTGATGATAGAGAGATAGGACACAGGGACTGACTGTCAGTCTATGATTTAGACTAGTGATGGTAGAGAGATATGACACAGGGACTGGCTGGTCTATGATAGGACACAGGGACTGACTGTCAGTCTATGATATAGAGTGGTGAGGGTAGATAAATAGGACACAGGGACTGACTGTCAGTCTATGATTTAGACTAGTGATGGTAGAGAGATATGACACAGACACTGGCTGTCAGTCTACGATATAGAGTGGTGAGGGTAAAGAGATAGGACACAGGGACTGACTGTCAGTCTATGATATAGGGTGGTAAGGGTAGAGAGATAAGACACAGGGACTGGCTGTCAGTCTATGATATAGAGTGGTGAGGGTAGAGAGATAGGACACAGGGACTGACAGTCAGTCTATGATATAGAGTGGTGAGGATAGAGAGATATGACACAGGGACTGACTGTCAGTCTATGATATAAAGTGGTGAGGGTAGAGATATAGGACACAGGGACTGACTGTCAGTCTATGATATAAGGCGGTGAGGGTAGAGATATAGGACACAGGGACTGACTGTCAGTCTATAATATAGAGTGGTGAGGGTAGAGAGATAGGACACCGGGACTGACTGTCAGTCTATGATATAGAGTGGTGAGGTAGAGAGATAGGACACAGGGACTGACTGTCAGTCTATGATAAAGAGTGGTGAGGTAAAGAGATAGGACACAGGGACTGACTGTCAGTCTATTATATAGAGTGGTGAGGGTAGAGAGATAGGACACAGGGACTGACTGTCAGTCTATGATTTAGAGTGTGAGGATAGAGTGATAGGACACAGGGTCAGTCTATGCTATAAACTGGTAAGGGTAGAGAGATAGGACACAGGGTCAGTCTATGCTATAAACTGGTGAGGGTAGAGATATAGGACACAGGGTCAGTCTATGCTATAAACTGATGAGGGTAGAGTAAGACAAAAACGAGAAAGGAGCTGTCTAATTTTCTTCTATAAACTAATGAGCTCTTTTAGACGCTATAATATACGGGAAATATTGGAGACAAACTTCTCAAGAAAGATTGTAATTGGTAAAAGTGAACGACATTGATTGGCCGACATTAAATGAAGAGACGGGTTTGAACTATATATAGTTAGACGAAGGCGCTATGATTATAACATGTCATTTTATTTGCAGACTAGCCGGAGGATAATGCCGCTGTCACGTTATACATGATCTTTGAAATCTTCATTACCATGACAACGTCTTCATATCTAACCGGATGTTGTACCTGCGCGGCGGTTGTTTGTTGTTGCTTCATCGGGAGTTGTGCTGTCATCTGCTGACATAAACAATCGATAAAGATGAATGGTAATTATATTAAATCATTCTCGTTGCAATATTTTTGCACTCACTGCCTTTTTTTCACAAAGAAATCCTCAACTAAAACGGAGCAAAACATGAGACCTTCTTTAGCCCAAATATACAGTAAGCCTTTTAATATACCATACCCCATACAGTATAAAACCTCATATAAAGATCCCTCAATAATACAGTATAAAACTTAATATAAAGACCTCAATAATACAGTATAACACTTAATATAAAATCCCTAAATTATACAGTATAACACTTAATATAAAATCCCTCAATAATACAGTTTACAGTATAACACTTAATATAAAAGTCCCTCAATAATACAGTACAACACTTAATATGTAGTCCCTCAATAATACAGTATAACATTAAATATAAAGTCCCTCAATAATACAGTATAACACTTAATATAAAATCCCTCAATAATACAGTATAACACTTAATATAAAAGCCCTCAATAATACAGTATAACACTTAATATGAAGTCCCTCAATAATACAGTATAACATTAAATATAAAGTCCCTCAATAATACAGTATAACACTTAATATAAAAACCCTCAATAATACAGTATAACACTTCATATAAAAGTCCCTCAATAATACAGTACAACACTTAATATGAAGTCCCACAATAATACAGTATAACATTCAATATAAAGTCCCTCAATAATACAGTATAACACTTAATATAAAAACCCTCAATAATACAGTATAACACTTAAAATAAAGTCCTCAATAATACAGTATAACACTTAATAAAAACTCCCTCAATAATAAAGTATAACACTTAATATGAAGTCCCTCAATAATACAGAATAACATTAAATATAAAGTCCCTCAATAATACGGTATAACACTTAAAATAAAGTCCTCAATAATACAGTATAACACTTAATATAAAATCCCTCAATAGTACAGTCTAACATTAAATATAAAGTCCCTCAATAATACAGTATAACACTTGATATAAAACCCCTCAATAATACAATATAACACTTAAAATAAAGTCCCTCAATAATAAAGTATAACACTTAATATAAAGTCTCTCAATAAAACAGTATACAGTATAACACTTAATATAAAAACCCTCAATAATACAATATAATACTTAACATAAAGTTTCTCAATAATACAGTATAACACTTAATATAAAGTCTCTCAATAAAACAGTATACAGTATAACACTTAATATAAAGTTTCTCAATAATACAGTATAACACTTAATATAAAGTCTCTCAATCAAACAGTAAAACACTTAATATAAAAACCCTAAATAATACAATATAATACTTAACATAAAGTTTATCAATAATACAGTATAACACTTAATATAAAGTCCCTCAATAATACAATATAACACTTAATATAAAGTCTCTCAAA